TTCATAACAACACGAGACCCTCATCGACCAACACTAACGGTGGAAGGAGCAGACATCGAGTTGGTTGAAATCTACAAGTTCCTGGGAATATGGGTTGACAGTGAGCTAATCTGAAAAAAAAACCAATTAAACAGTGTATCGCAGACGTGTTTTCGAGGATTGAACATGTTGAGAGCCAACGCAGGTAGATATTGGGGCAGCGATCTACTCACTCTACTCACGTTTTACCGAGCATTGATTCTCTCTCACTTATTCTACTCGCTACTGACGGATTCGGAGGGCGACAACCTGATGCTGCCCGAGGCCGATCAGAGTTTGATCAACGTGGATATCGAGATGGCCGTGTCGCGCATGCAGAGCATCATAGAGTTGGGACGTATTATCAGCGATCGCAAAACGATTCCAATCAAGTATCCGCTTCCTGACGTGGTGATCATCCATCAAGACGACAAGTACATAGAAGATGTCGTTTCTCTGGAGCAGTACATCCTCTCCGATCTGAACGTGAGAAAACTGACTACGACCACCGAGCAAGTACAGTGTGACGTTACGCGCCGAACCGAACCACAAGACATTAGGCCTGAGACTTAAGAACGACTTCAAGAAGGTCACGGCTGCTATCAAGGCCCTCAACGACGCTGATGAGGGCCTTGAAACGTTCTCTTGGACGTCACCCAGGATCAATCGATGCTGGACGAGGGAATCGCCCGCGAGATAATCAACAGGATTCAAAAACTACGTAATAAGGCCCATCTACTTCCAACTGACGAAATCGTCGTTTACTACAAGACCGAGAACGAAATATATCGCGTTTCCAACGAGTACAAACGATTCATCGATAAGGGATCAAGACACCCTTCAATGTAATCACTGCTGGACCTGAAACTGCTGGACTGCAGCAAACTCTTCTGCAAAGTGAAGAATATTCTAGTAAAAGGTACCTTCATCCAGCAGGCGTACCGAGAAAAACAAATTGTTAAACCACCATTACTTTAATTTTTAATTTCAATCGTTTTGTAAAATAATAAACCCGTTTCTTTTTATTTATTGATAATCTTGCATTATTTATTTAAACTATTTTCAAAGTTTAAACAAATTCCATTCATCCTACACCACGAATGGCTAAAATTAATTAACGTTAATTATTTAATTAATTGTAAACAACAATATATTATTTTTTTCTTTTCCATGAAAATAATCAGGAATAAAAAGAAAACTTTTATACGTAATTTATTCAAAAGTTCTACGTAACTGTAAATAATTCCGATAAGCATAATTTATTCTTTACGTGTTTTCATTTCTACTTAATTTTAAAACTGATATGTTATGTACTGTTTGTAGTTTCAGTAATTTCAGTGAAATACGGTTGTAAAAAATTTCTATTTTATTGCCCTGCAATTTAAACGTCATTAAATGTGAATTGAAAAAGGGACATCTCTAGTTTTTTTTTCGAACAGGTAACCAATACATATTGGCAGCATTGATTATCTGGATATAAAGGTGGTACTTTCCTTTCTTTCTACACAGTTGTCTGTTTGTTTTCTTGGTGGACAGGTCAAATTTGAATTTGTGCTGTCAAACCGGTGGTGAAATCGTTGAGTGTATGTGAGAACGGAGTGAAAATTAAATGCAATAGACAATTCGTGGTAAGTTAGTTCGATTTACACAAATTGAATTAAGAAAATGTACGAATTAAGAAAAAAAATTGCTATTCAATTTTTTACTCACCCGTTTTTGATATAGCCTGCTTTTAATATTTTTGTAATATCGTTGTTGTTTTGCATTTGCAGTTACGTGTTTGCTAGGATAAAAAAAATGGGTGATTTGATACAGTTCAACAGTCCCGCTTCTAAGGACGAGACATCCTTCACGACACTCTTCAACTCAAATGATTTTAATCTTCACCTGAACTTCGATCTGGGCGCAGAGTCGATGCCGTTTCGACCGTCAAGCATAGGGAGAGAATCTCTTCAGGTGCTGGACATAACAGGCAGAGAGCATTTGGGCATTCTGCACATGAACAGCCCTTCCATAAGACTTACAGAACCAGACTTCCTGCAGCAACTTCCCCTAAGCGGTGACACACTTAACACAGCAATCCTGCATTATCCGTTATCTTTCTTGGACAGAAATAATTCAAATGTTTCCAGTGTATCATCCAATGCATTCAGTCTGTACAATTCGAGTAACTTTAATAAGAGTGTTGCCCCATCCACCATATACTCTACAAACTCTTTAAAAGGTTTGAGCAGTTCACATTTCAACAATGCCTTCATTTCGAATCAGTTTAGTCAAGATGATCTACTGTTGAGTGAGCTGAATCAGAGGATTGATGAGAGAATGAGACTGTACAGTTTGCCAGAGACTGAGACTGATTTGGATGTAATTAAGAGGAGGTGCATCAGTGCTGAGGTTAAAAGTAATAGGACTACTTCCATGGAAGAAGATGATGAATTTGTACGTATTAAAATTTGATATTGATTGTATTTGCTAATTTCGTTTTTTTTTTCTCTTTATTTTAGAATGATTCAGTGTTCATTGAGGCTTATCATATTGCTTGTAAAGTAGCTGATGGCTCAATTTTAGAAGCCTGTAAGTATTTCATACTAATTTTTAGTTATATAATTGTAATTTATGAATTACTATAATGTTATTGTTGTTTTAGCTTATGAGGGAATTTTTTTGGATTGCACCCCACAGCCATTTTTGGCGAATGATGAGTTTGATATGGAGATGGAGAAGGTGGTGAAATGTGATAAAGAGTCGATGTTCAAGGAGATCGATCGAATAATTTCGCCTGAAATCACAGAGGTAAACGAAGAAGAAGAGGTGCTCATAGTTGAGGAGCAGCAACAGGATAAGAACGAGGAGGTTGTGGATGAGGAGGAGCGTTGTAATAGCAGCAACGCTTTTGCAACGCTTTTAGAGTACAAGCAGAATTTGTTGGTCCTTCTTAACGGCGAGGGGAAGATTGATGTTTCGAACATATCTAACTGCTCGAGTAAATTTAGGGAGGCCGGTCAAATCATAATGAGCCTGTCCAATTTATTCAATGGTTCTGACATCGACTACGAGCGGAAGATCGCCGGGCACAGTTTGCTGCTGAATCTAGCGGATCTCATGTGTTCTTCCACAGTATCCGTCTGCAGCAGCATCAGCTCTGAGGATTCCGGTCACAGTTCGATCGAAGACAAGCAGCATACTCGGCTGATATCGGGTGTCGAGCAGGAGGAGGAGGAACGGGACGCGGAGTTACCGCTGGATCTCAGCAGGACGGCGGCGTCCGTGTCGCTCACGGAGAGATTGCTCCAAGCAGATGGTGTCGGCAACGGGTCACGTCTCTGTCGATCGTTTGGCATGCCGCTCATATCGAACAACCTGAACAGCCAGGTCACGGAGATGGAGACCAAGTGCAACGCCAGTTCCATAACGAGCTGCTCCACATCCGTCTCGAGCAAGCTGAAGCCCAAAAAAATCGAGGAACCCGAAAAGGGACCGATGAAAGCCATGCTTCCGGTCATCGCCATCACAAAAAAGAAAGGTATTATTTCAACATTTTAAATCTTGAAAAGTATTTAATATTTTTATTTTCATCTCAAAGACCTCCTGAAAGATTCCAAGATCGCCAAATCTCCGTTGACGAACACTCCGCTCAGGAAGCAATCTATTGGCACATCCATTTCCAAAACAATTAGCACCCAGTTAATCGTAAGTTAATACTAGTTAAGACTTAAGCATTTCTAGAAATTAACAATTCATTTTCAATTCCTCACAGAACACTAAGCTGAAGCCGATGGCGCAATCCACGCCCGACAGGACGCAACCGCAGAGCAAATTGTCCATCCCTCTGGCCTATTCCAGTCAGTTCAAGAAGAAGTCTCTGGAATTGTCCGTATCTCCTTTAGTAAAAACCACCAGTTTCAATGAAATGTGGTTAGTATATTCTACACTTGATTCGCGTATTCCAACGATAATTAATTATTCATTTTTTGTTTGTAGTACTTATAACATGAATAATTCTGATTCCGTGGCAAACGTGTCCACAACGGCGACGAACACGAGTAGTCATTGCCGGTCGACGAACGAGAGGTCGAAAGGGGCTGGTACTACTACTACCGGTCTGATACGCCCACGCCGCTATAGCATCGGCAAGAAGAACCTTGTGTCTAATTTGAGGAAGATTGCCAAACCAAACGTATCAGTATCCGATCCGAAAAGGACGGAAGATGGCATCAGCAGCAGTAGGATCGCCCTCTGAAACACCTCCAACAGGAGCATAGGAATGAAGCCAACGAATTTGGTACATTACTAAGCAGCGACTGTCCGCCATTGCCTGTCATCGCCTGACCTATGTATTCCTTATTTTTCATATATCGAAGATAAAATAAGCTTGGTTTTAGTTAATATTAAGATAATTACACTCTATTTTTTTTTGCCTCTTTCTCTTCTCTTTATATATGTTAGTACGTTATTATTATCTTGGAAAAAATGGAAAAGAACTGGAAAGAGAAATTATAAAATATCACACGTTATTATAGTATTATACAAAACATAGACATTTATTTTTTTGGGTAAATTGAAAAGAAAAAAACACCATTCCTCAAAACAGCCAATGGTGGCCACCTTTCTTCTTTCTATATTTTCCCTTAATGGATTCCTTCCACTTTAATCCAGTAGTTTGGTTTTGTGGAAGGTGGCCTAAATTGAAGTAGAAATAGATTTGATACATTATTTATTTGGTGGTGTGTATTTTCACCCAGATGAAGTACTACTAACACAGATTGATTGTTGCATTGAGCAAGATCGCCTTTTGTTGGCTTAATAAATAAATAATACGGAAAGAAAGGAAGGAAAGTCTGGGTTTGGTGATATTGAAGTTAATTGGTCATCGAGGCCAGACGTCCACGTTGAGCAGATTTTCCTTCTTCTCCCACAGCGAGACGATCTCAGCCTCGATTTGATGTAGCTCCCCAACCACTCTGAGATGGTGTAGTTATCGTTCAGAGGTTCGTCTCTACGGCCCACAGCTGCCCCTTTAAGCAATCCAGATCGGCGGTGCCGCTCTCCACAAGTTCGGGGTTCGAGAACGAGTGCCTCACGTTGAACTCGTTCATCCATCCTTTGATGCGTGAATAGGCAAGAAGCTAAGCGTACTTGTCCTTTAGCTGTTTCAGTCTGTAAACTTCGTCGTGGATCTCGGCGCCCGCATAGAAGCACTTCGGATTACCGAGCAGGCCAATGGGCGGGTCCGTGGGCGGATCGTTGTTCCCAGCCAATTGGCGGAAGCACATTGCCAGAGGAGTTCGCAGAGGACGGCGAAATGGTTGTACCGTTGCCATCTGGTGATGAAGATGCCTTAAAAGTGGATAGTCATGCTGTAGTCGCTTACCACGTTCATCCAGTAGGCGTGATTATCTACATGGTAAGAGGCATTGGTAAAGTATAAAGACGTTGCTGTACTTGTACAGGTCTATGTACGTTAACGTCGTGTATATGTCCGGGACGTACTTCCAAACGACTGGTGTCACGTAATCGGCGATACCGCTCTCCTTCAGATCCGGTTGCTCGATATTCCTCAACAGATCATTCCATATGAGCACCTAGACACCCAGATATGTTTGCTTGATGTGTTTTGCAACGATGACGATGTGGTCGAGGAAGAAACGCACTTTGGACCATCCGTGCTTGAGCATCCTGTCGTAACATCTGTTGCAGCTGCCCACGTGGAAGACTTCGTCTCATCCGATGTGAATCGCCTTCGCCTTGGGATGAGGACGCAGCACCTGACCAATCATCGACTGGATCAGATCCAAGGATAGCACATTGAGCAAGACAGATTGTCTGCGGATACCAAGTCTCCACGCGCAGATTCCTGTACTTCTCCAGTTTCAGTATGAACTCCATGTGGCCGAACGTCTGCACCAGTGGGATGATCTGCAGATGATGTACATCGGCGAGCATGTTGATTTCGCTGAAGTTCTGCACGCTGAAGTGATTCAGTGCTGAAATGTCGCCGTCGTACGGGAACATATCTTCGTATTCTATCAGGATACCGGTTGGGCCCATGTTCCCCTGGTGCTTCCTTCAGGTCCAGATAAACGATCTTCTCCCCGCGGTAGCTCTGCTGACGATGCTGCTGAGAAGGGATGCGTCCGGACCTCGCCTTCAGGTAGTTATCGAACGACGGCACCATCTACACCTCCTTCAACCTCCTCTTTGCCTTCAGTCCCTTCTTGGCCCCTAATCTTGCCGCACCGATTATATTCCGGATTCCGGAACCTCCGGGTTTGTACTTGGAGACCATGTTGCTTGCAACGCTGCTAGCATCCGCCCTCTTTCTTTTGCTATCTATGAGTATCTTGGTGGCTGCATCGTCGTCACAGTCAGTGTCGGAGTCGCTATCGCCAAAGTTTATTTTACTCGCTTTCGGTACTCTCTTTGAGCCACCGCCGTCACCACCATCAGAATCATCAAAGTCCAACTCATTGATGATGAGCCTTCCATCGGTGGTGGTCTTGAATCCTCTGTCCTTGGCCTTCTTCTTGGCCTCGACATCCATTGGTTCAGTCTGCTTTGTCGGTTTATTCGCGACGATCCTGTTGATGATCGTCGGATCCTTGAAATCGATGATGTTGTCCTCGTCGTCTTGGATGTACGCCTTGTACTTCTTTTGTCGGGATCGCTGATCATTAGTTCCCACCTCATCATCATCGAAATCTGAGTCGGAATCGGCGAGAATCTCCTCGACGCTCTTCGGCCTCAACTTCACCAGGAAATCCTTCTCCATATCGACGTCTCCGTTCAGTTGCTGCTCCTCGGCAGACTTGCGCAGCCTCTTCATCCTGTTCTGCATCTTCCGCATATTCCTCAACCTCTTGTACATTACGGTGTCCGTGGTTGGGACGTACGGCATGATCGCATCGCAGCCAAACTTGCGGATCAGCTTCTCCAGCACAGCACAGCCTCTGGAATGGTAGACTTGATCAGATTGCTATCGTGGTCGAGAGCTGGTTGCGCTTTCAGCAGGAAGTTCAAGCAACGGAGACGGGCTTGCTCTGCACCGCAGCCGTCTGCAGACTCTTCATCAGCAGCTTTTGCACCAGCTTACGGTGTTTGCGTAGGAACTCCTTGACGCCCTCCGCTTCACTGCCGCAGATCTTCTCCATCAATCGGTAAGCCTTCTTCTGCTCTTTGTTATCCTTGATATCAGGTAGGTGCTTAACGCACTGCATGAACATCTTCTCGACGCTCTCCGCGTCCTGATCCTCACCAAGATACGAATCAGATCGAGGATACTCTCCTTCACGATCATCTCTTCCATTCCCGTGAGATTCTCAAGTCTGCTCAGCGTGTTATCGAACAGCTGCTTCGTCAGTTCAGCTCTCGCTATCGTCAAATGCACCTACAATATTCATTAAGAAATTAAACTTAATTAATTAAATGCTAGTAAAATACTCACAGCAATTGTATCAAGAGCCGCCAAACTTTGACCCTCCTCATCCGTGCCGAATGGTTTCGTCGTGTACACGTTGAACAGGATTGGCAGGTAGTTCTTATCAAATCGGGCAAGCTCGGCAATGTCCGCCTCGTTCTCGGTCTCCTTCGCGCTCGTGATCAGTTTCCTTAGAGACGCCATCACAGCCAATCGCAGTTCCTTGTACTCCGATATGGCCACACCCAATATCCTAGCAACGCCCTGCAACCTGCACTTAAAACTAGCGCTGATGTCGATTGGACTGTTGCAGAAACTCGGAAGCAGATTCGAGAGAAGCTCAGCGCTGTGCGCTCCAATCGCATCGTTTCTATTCGTCAATTCTGCGGATTTATTTTGACACGCTGTGGCCAAAGGTAAGATACCTTTGATCCAAAAGTCCAATTTCGAAGAGCGAACTTTCTTCTTCAGCACCGATATCAACCACGACCTATCCAATATGAGTTTATAGTTATCCTTCTTCAAATTGAATTAATTAAATTATCTTCTATAACAGCAGGTGAGACAAATCCACTTACCTTAAGCGATATAACGCTAAGCATTGTCTCAGGTCCAACGAAACTTATGGCAGCGCCGACGGCGTGCTCCAACTCGTTGTAATTGAACTTATTCGAATCTCGAACAGGATTTTCAGATATCCCAAAAGAAGACTGCTACAATTCGCGCATCCGATTTGTGTAAGAAACAAACGTTACCATCAACTTACGTCATGCGATTAATTAAGAAAGCTGTTGCATTACCTCGAACATAACGGACATGTAATGCAAGACCTGAGGTCATGCGTGGTTGTACTGGTAACCGAGACCGAGCTCCAGGGTTTGGAAACACTTGCTCATTAATTGCTCGTACTTTCTGGCCATGTCGAGTTCCGCGCAGATCGGACCAGCAGCATCCTTCAGGAGCATCTCCACGGCTCTCGTCGCTGCCATCACTATCTCGAACTTTTGCAAGAGCCATAGTTGCGTGATGGCCGTGAAGACTTTCGGTAAAAACGCAGCGCACATTGCAATGTCAATGCTGCAATTGAATACATAAAAAAAATAGTTTTAGAAACGTTGCTTTTTTGGAAATAAAATGGTATGCTCTTACTCTGCCAAATGGACTTGCGCTTTTTGCATGACGGTTAACCATGCCAAAGTGCGATGGGCGTCCATAGAGAATGGTTGATAATCGTAGAGGGCTGTGATCATCTGTCCGTTGAATTTGGTGGAGGCGACGGCCTTTGCAGATGAGAAGAGCGCGTGCAGAACTTGTGGACCTACGGACGTGACCAGAGGATAGTTGAGTGACATCAACTTCAGAATCATCTTACCACAGGCCTAGAACAAAATTAACAGTACAGTTTCCATAGTAACTGATAGTAAGTACCAAAGTTTCCATGGTAATCTTATTTATGAATGTCTTGAAGTGCTTACCTTAAGATCGCGACTTTATCCGCTGCCGGATTATAATTGTTTTCGTTCTTAAAGATATCAGCTCCGATGACGGCAAACACAGCCTGTTGAGCCGCTTTCCTCCACTGATAAAAACGTTGTTGTCGGAAGTGCAGTATTGGTTCATCAATTTCAACAGCTTGCTGGTAACATCCCCAAAGCTCGTTCTCAAAACTGCCGTAGGTTTTTTTTTTTTTTCTCAATGTGGCTAGGTGGGGAATTGATCCCGTTGCCTTTTATCTATAGGAATGCATGACAGTGAATTCGTGGATGAGTAAAAACTCCGCCTTTCGGCTCATGATTATAATGCATTGGCCTGAAGGCCCATGTGGTGATGCATGACGAGTGTTTGGTCTTGTGGGAATGTCAGTGCTGTCAGGTAGCAGCCATTCTCGGCCTTTTGTGGGTGTGATGATCACCCGGATCGTAGTCGACAGCCGCTCGCAGGAGAGGATTTGGATGAATCTCAGCTCTGGCAAAAGCCTTCTCAGCTGACTTCTTCATGAATTCCGAGAGGAAAGCAATGTTAGCCTCCCGGTGCAGCTGCACGTTCCTGATGAACCAGGGAGCATTGTAAATAGTTCTCAATGTCTTATTCTGAATCACTTGCAGCTTGTACAAGTGAGTGCGTGCAGCATGACCCCATGCAGGAGACGGATAAGTCATGCCGGATCTTATGATCGATTTGTAAATGGCCAACTTGCTAGGGATGTTTAGACGGCTCCTCCTGTTCATCAGGGGATAAAGCAGCTTGATGGTTGCACAGGCTTTGTTCCTGGCCGTCTCGATATGCTGCTTGAAGCGCAAACCTTTATCCAAAGTAACCCCCGGGTACTTAGCTGAAGGCTTCCACTGGATGTCTTCACCAAAGACTGTTAGCGCACCAGATGGAGTGGCGCGCTTTCGAGTGAACAGCACCGCAACGCTCTTGGTCGGATTGACGTCAATACGCCAGAGCCGGAACCAATCCTCAATTTGATCAAGGGCCTCTTGGAGCAACCTCGTGACATGATCGGTCGAAGTGTGCCTCACCAGGATGGCAGTATCATCGGCGTAGTAGGCTGCGGAGGTGGAGGATCCGGCCTAAATCTTGGGCATGTCAGCCATAAAGATGGCAAAAAGAAAAGGCGTCAGGATAGACCCTTGGGGCACATCTGACCTAATGGGTCGAACCGAGGAACGTACGTCACCCAGCTTAACGCTGAACGTTCGATGGTCAAGGTAGGTTCAATTAGCTGAATTAGACCATCAGGGAAACTGCTGGTGATCATTTTGTGTCAGACCTTGTCAAAGGCCTTGGTAACATCAAGGAAAACCCCGCCTGTGTGCATCTTCCAGCCCTGCGTGATGCGCTCCACAACGCGCAGCAACTGGTCAGAAGAAGAGTGACCGTCCCTAAAGCCAAACTGCTCATCGGGTATGATCTGTTGCTGAGCTTCAAAGTCCTTGAGCCTTCGAAGGATCACCTTTTCAGCAACCTTCCCAATACCCTGAAGCAGGCTAATGAGAGGGTAGTTCTGGGGAAATTGAAGCTCATTCGCGGTTTTCGGAATAAGTATGATGTCGGCCTTCTTCCAAGCCTCAGGGAAGTGCCGGAGCCGAAGCATCGCATTTATGATGACCACAACATGCATGACCGAACGCCGAGGGAGAAGTTTTAGCATGAGGTTGGAGATACCGTCAACTCCGGGGGCTTTCTTGTTTTTTAACTGCTTAATGACGGCGTGGACTTCTCTGGGGGTGGCCGGCTCTAATTAATTGGATGTTGATGATGCATAATAATGCAAGTAAAGAAGTAGTTTTCTCTTCAGTTACATCTTTAGTTCAAATGCAAACTTAGAGAGGATGTTGATGATCGATTCCGTTGAAATGGTTCGCGCCAAAAAAAAATATCCGTTATAGATTGAGAAAACAACAAAACCTTGGTCTGGCATAAACGTTCGGCAGTTTGAACAGTTTGAAGTTATTGTAGTTATTGACACAATCATTAATATCATCATAATGAATGAAAATCATCCTCTGCACAACATGAATCCTCTGCACATGAATGAAAGAATTAAGCAGTGGGAAGACCTGTTCAACAAATTAACAGATGTTAAGGACGAAGATGCAGAATCCTTCAGTTTGAACTCCTTTGAAAC